ATAAACACAATAATTTATTCCGAATAAAGATAAACATTCTACCGAAAAAATCGAATTTCAGTCATTCCACACTCAACCAAAGAATATATATGCTTTCGATACTCATATTCTTTTCACTCGTCCATCGAAAAGTTCCATAAAAATTCACAAAATTTATCTTTTTCCATTTTGTGTTTTCTTAATGTTTTTTTTTCTACTCTGTTTTCTAAGTGCCCCGAGCAAGACAAGATATCGATATATATGATTATGCATTTACACGTGTTTGAATTCGAATGCAATCCACGTCCAAGCAATACAACATCGTGCGGCACATATTCATTATGATCATACATCGAACAAAACGAACACAAAATTATTTTTCTTTGTTTTTAAAAGCCCCGAAATAACGAAATTTCTGTGAATAGATTTCAATCGAAAATGAGTAAAACTCATTTTGTGAAATGCCATCACGAAAACCACATGTTAAGTCCATTTTGGAATGGAATCAGACTTATGGGCTATTGCCATTGTGCACTTCGTTCGATCATCTTTCGTAATAATTTCAGAATCCATCATTAGATAATGTTCAACGGAATTATTATCGATCGAAATTGAACGAATAAACAGCCGAGAGTAAATAATCAAACGTAAATAGAATTTATTGCTTGTGGTCAAGAGGCGCATAATGATTTAAGACTTTTTTTTATTCATTCCGTTTCATACCATTAGTTGAAGAATCTCAAGTTGGGAATGTTGCTCGGTGATTCGACAGGCAGTAAAAAAAATCAATTAAATGCATTGAATTGTATCAGTCCACTTTAGTGGTGTGTGTGCGTGTTGAAAAATGAGGTTCATCTTTGATTAAAATAGAATGTTGACAATCGAAATCTTGAAAAAGTACTTGAGCGGCAATGATTAATTTAATTCAAGTATACGTTTTGCGATAGAAAAAATCAATTACACCAACAACAACAGCAACCATAGCAGAAAATGGAAATATTTTCACTGTTGATTGAAACGTCCTTTCAATCGGCACGGCGTTTCACTGTCAACGAACGCGACATGACGCAAGCTATTTTTCGTTCTACAAAATGGCTCAATATCACGGCTCCAGCAATAAGCGGAACCCAACTCCAAACACAATTCATGCAAACACAGCCATTTATTCTAGCGGGCTATCGCTCGTACAACATTTTATCCATAGCGCTCGGGTCACACGAAATGTAAAGCATGCGATTAGTGAAATGTCGTTGTGATTTACATTTTTTTTCGGTCTTGCTGTTTCGTCGACAAAGTTAAATGAAGCAAACTGAATGCCACAAATGGTTTTTATTGTAATTCCGGGATAGATAGATTTAGCGACCTGATACGGATTTTTTTTCTTTCGATTCATTGGTTTCATAATGGAAGAAATAACCATAAAAAATGTATATCGATAGTAGTTGAACAGTTGGGACGAAAATGAAAGTGCGTCTCAATTTCGGCATGAGGCAATTCAATTCAAATGTATGAAACTAAATCCGGATGAACGGTTTAAATGCATTTTTCCGTGCTCTATTTCCTTCTAAATTCTTCGCTGTCTTTTTGCTACTAATTTCAGCAGCCGGTCAGCCAATTGTTACCGTAATATAGGGTTTTTTGTTGGCGAGTTTTTGTTTGCCCGTTCGTTGCGTTGAGTTATACTTTCATTGTAAGCACGCGCGCGTGAGAGCGAGTGAATGAACGAGGGAATTTCCCGTGCATTGTGCAAGTATTAATTCGGGAAAATACGCATCTTCTCGCTCTCATGGCCGAAAAACGATTACTCTTTCTCGGCATATTTAGAAGATATATGACAAAATCTAATCTTTTATTCAAACAAACGCCGCATTACATAAGCTTAAATGACAAAAACACACAATCGAAACCGCCAACGACGACAACGACAACGACCAAGTAGCATTGAATGAGGCATAAAAAAAATAACATAATACACACACAAATTCAGATTAAATATTACTTGGTGAATTCATGATATGTAAAGTACATCAGTTTGTACGCCGGTCGGTAGGTCATAATAACAGCAACACCGTCAAAATTAATTATTCGAACACGAACAACAGTGGACTGTTTTTTTTACACGGCAAATAAATTCGACCGAAGAATGAAATGCGAAAAAAGCGACAAACTTGCAGACAGCAATTAAAAAACATAAATTCGCCGAAACAAGGAAAAAGACACAGAAAAACGCACAAAAATAAAATACATCGCATTTAATTGTTCTACAAGAAACCTGAACCTGAAAGCCTCGGAAAATGCCATTGTCTTGGATACAATATTTTCATGGCGCGCTTACGTTCCCGTCAACAGGTAATTGACTTTATCGAGATACATCTGATTCGTTCTTTTTTCAGTCGTTGCAGTTCGATCGTAGTTTGGGAAACGCAAACGAAAAAATTCTTCCAAAGAAAACCCGCAAATTATCGCATTTTCTGCGGCGTGCAATGCAAGAGAGAAAAAGTCGAGTGAGATTTTATTAGCATAGTCGTCCCAAAGTTTGAGTGAGTTTTTCTTTTCGCTTGGAAAATGTTCAAAATGCTTAGAAAATGAAGTGATTATTATTCGTGTTGACTTGAAATTACGTCATTCATTTTTGCAATGAGAATGATGTTATTAGCAGAGCGGTGTGTTTGCTGTGCCATCCATTTGCCAAAACGATTTGAATGATTCTGTATGGCGCAGATGGAATTTCGATCACTTAAGCCATAATCGGTATAACGGCAACTCATGATAAATATCGCACACAGTGTGTGTGCTTCAGTCAGGGATGAATAAACTGACTTTGGCGGATTCGGAAAAGTCACGAAATCTACAAAAAGCATTTAAATCGCATTTATTTGTGCTATTCCGTGTGAAAATCCTAGGGGTCTCACGCTAAAATTTATGCACAAAAATATATTTTTATTATTCAAATCTAATAAAATCTACTAAAATTCCAATATTTTTTTTATTACTACCCGAACGCGCTATTATTCAGTATTATTAGTCATATTCACCTTATACGATAACGCACGTTTTAGCTAATTTTGTTGAAAATTCTGACATTTCAATAATATAGCAGATAATGGTGATTTTGTAATTCTGATGACAGCTAGCCTCATAGCAACTGTATTTTTTTAAATCTTTGCTAAGAATTGGTTCGAAACTAAGTGTCAAACATATACAAATACATTGTGCCCGCAACGCATACAGATGGCGTTGACTGTTATAGTGCTAGCGGATTCAAAATATTCAGCAAAATTGAAATTATGCATACATATTCGTTTAATTTGTTGGAACATAAAACAATTTATGGTATTTATTTTTATTGTGAATATATAAATTGACGTGAGGCCCCTAGTGAGAATCATTTTCACAATTGCCGTACACGCGCACAATTTCCATGATTCGAACAACAAATGTCGGCGTTTTCTGTTTGCAGATGAACCGAACAAACGAATGAGCTTAACAATCGCTTTTATGACTCATCATCGAATTCGTTCGCTTGCTGTCATTCTCATCCGTGTTCGAGAAAAAGTGACTCGACTAAATGCATAAACATCAGGTTGTAGAAAAAAACAAACAGTCCAAATTCAGCCGCTTTGTTGGCTTATGTTGCTATGGCACCCGAAACGATCATAACCACACAAGCGAAGCAAACAATGACGGTGTTGCGAATATAAGGAAATTGTAAGGAAATACTAATGCTAAAAACTTAAACTGAACAAAACGTGCACGGTAATTTGTCTAAATAAAAGTGAAATTGAATTTAATGTGGATAAAACAGCAATCGTACATGTCATTTGGTCCGCAACCGTATGTTCAGCAGCACCAACAGCAACAGTCAAAGTAGCAACAGCATCTTGAAGCCATTTCTGTTACATATATTTACAATGTAGAGCAAACATAGCCGGTCGCTAGTAGAAAAAAAAAACCATAACAAAAATAGATGAAAGTGAAAGAGACAACGATGAAGCAAAAGACGCAAGAGAAAAAAAAACATCATCATTAAATGACAACTATAAAATAACAATTTAAATGAAGAGAAAAAAACGCTCGCGCGCGTATTGCACTGAGAAAGGTAAGAAAGGAGGAAGTGTGAGCAGGATGGAGAATCAGGTCGTTGAAACAATTTAATTGAAAAAAAGTAGAAAAAAACGGCTTATTGCATGCTATCAAATAAGTAAGCAGCACCACCATTGAAGTATAATTACACTTGGCACATAATAACGAAACGGTTTACTTGAAAAAATACGTTTTTTTTCTGCGTCGTGCCAAACGGTCAGTCAGTGTTTGTATGTGTATGGGTTAGTCAATATTCAATAATTGGCATACAGCTTATGGTGCGTGCAAATATTGTGAGGTTGTGCTTTGAAGTGGGAAGCGTTGCCACTGCGCCATGTTTATGCAGATAAAAATGTGCACATTCGGGAAAAACCACTACAAACCTTCAAAGAGTGCCATAAACAATGTCATTTCGTAGAATCGCATAATTTTCTTTATACGGTGCCATTTCCAACAGTGGTAGACGATCAGATGAAACTTTATTCACTCACTCATCAAAGACAGCGTATAACACGTGCACACACATCGATAGAGCATACCAACACAGCATCACATCGACATAAAGAGCATTTCATTTTGCTTTTTGGCCTTTTTTTCTCTTTCGCTCTTATTATCACTCTCACTCAATGCTCGTCTCCATCGTCTGGCCGTTTTCACTCCCCCCGACGAAACAAAAAGCGAAGAAAAAGCTGCTGAGACGAATGTGTTACAACAACGTCATTTACTTTGCTTCATTTGCCCGTTCGTTCGTCTGTCCGTCTGAGTAGTGTGATCTTAAAGTTAAGTGTGAATGCGGCTGCGGTTGTGTGCGTGAACAACAACATTTTTAAACGTGTGCTCGTTGTATATATATATATATATGTTTAGGTCTCGGCAAATCAAAATCAACACATAAAAAAAGGCACAAATTACATTTTGTGAGTAAATAAATTGAAATTGATTTAGCGTTGGCTATTCAGTTTGTGAATTGCAGTCGGTGAATGTGAACGGTGTGTGTGGTGCGCGCAACTTAGTCTCAATTCAACAATTTTTATTTTTTCCCAAGAAATACAAAACGAAACAACAACAACAACACAAATCTCAATCAAATCAGCTGAATTGACCGAAACATAAACTTTCGACACACATATCACAGTGAGTAGTTGCCTTTTTTGTTGAGAAGAAAAAAAGATGCGCTGTAGAATTTTCTTTTCCATTCTGTTTTTATTCAGACTGTAAAGAGAAAAAGAGAGAGAGAGCGAATGAAAAAAAAGAAGATATTTATTGATTTACATCGGGGTGCTAAAATGTAAAATGGTTTGAAATTCGCTGCAAAATCCCTAGTGGTTTTTTCGGTTATTTTTTTTTTTTTAACCATGCTGAAGTCATTTGATATGTTGATGCGACACGGGATCTCAATTAAATACCTTCATAAAGCCTACGAATAAATAACGGAGAGCATTGCCGAGAGGATGGCCACTGTTGTTCGCTTTATTTGTTGCACATTCAAATGATGGAAATTGCTTAACCCTTTGACGACCAAAGCTGAACGGCTTGGAATTTTGCAATTCTGATAGCAGATTTGTGCTCAGCGACCCCAAAAACCTTAGTAAAAGTGTTATCAAAAATTAATTTTTTCAACTGAAAATATGAAAAAAATGATGGGACATATGTGTCCCATTGGTCGGTAACGGTAACTACCTTTGTATGGAAGAAAATATGTCTCCCATAAGAACTACGTGTAAAATCTTTTTCGTTTTTAAGATGTTCAGAATTGTTTGGAACCGAAAATGGTTTGAATTGTGCTTTGTTGTGCCCATTTAATCACGAATTTGATGATATTTTTGTAAATTTTGGTTTTTAAAAATTCGCGAATAATGGTCAAAATACAGGCAAACCAGTGGTAATTAGTTACCTTTACCGACCAATGGGACACATATGTCCCATCGCGCCAAAAGCAATAAAAATTTAAAAAAATATTTTTTTGGAGAAAAGTCGATTATTTTTAGAAAGTAACGGACATTCCGCACAACATTTCAAATTTTCAGCTTTAAAAGTTGCACCGTTCAAATTATATAGGGTTTGGCGCAACTTGAAAAAAAAGTCAAGATTTTTTGACTTTGAAGTGTTCTATTTGAGCACAGTGATGATAAATATCCAATATTATGGTACTTTCTGGTAGCTACATTCATTCTCTTTCAATAGAAACCAATTTTATCGAAATCGGTTTAAAAATGTGAAAATTATTGACGAAAAACAAAATGGGAGATATGTGTCCCAAAGGTCGTCAAAGGGTTAATACCCGCTATAAATTGTGCCTTTCATGAGAAAATAATCGCGCGCAGCTGGACGAAACAGAATTTTTCGATTAAACTGTACAATAAACAATTTTTTTTTTATTCTTCTTCTTCTTCGTGCAATTGCTATTTTTAACGATAGATAATGAGTGATCTTTTGTGGTTAGGGTGTGCTGAAAATAGAACAAATGATTGAATTGATTATGCAGATGGCAAATACACACATGCATTAATCCTCAAATGAAATGCTGGATCATTCATATCAATTAATCCGCAAGAAAAATCGATAAAATGCTCGATAATTTAAATTCGCTGAGATCATCCATTATCGCACTTAACGACAGTCAGCTTAATGATTTGATTCTATTGAACTCTGTGCATCTGTTTGTATGTTATGACTATTTTCGTAACATTTCTCGGCTAAAACTCCATTCGATTGAGCATACTGCGCCATTAAATGATGTAGTAAATTGATTTTGTGTGCTGTTTCAGTGGTTTTTATTTCTGTCTCACTCCAACTCTCTCTCTCTCTCTCAATTCTGACAATTTTCCGATGGATAAACTGTTCTCCATTTACCCCAGGGCATATAAAAACAAACGATTGAATGTGTTGCGTATTCATAGAATTTCAAATGATTGGCACGAAATCGCATACTGAAACGAAACGAAACGAAAATACCTTCAAACCAAATCAATTAAATAGTAGTTTGCAACATTGAATCGATGCGAATTTGTGTTTTAATTGATTTTCAACACATTCGCACAAGCACAACCCAAAAAAAGCATCATCAACTCAAAAATTCAATTCAAACACTCAGGACGTTCAATTGGATGCACGTTTTAGCCTGGTACCTATTTAATGGCGCTTTGGGCATGAACCAGAATGTTGGTTCTCTCAATCGAGTCGAGTCGGTATCCATTCAATTAAAATTTCAAAGTGATAATTATCTCTCAAACGTTGTAACACAGCAAATATTTGTGATGGATGCAGTTGAAAAAGTGCGAATTGGACAAAAACAAAATTCTCAAAGAAAAATAACAGAACTGTCAGAACAATTTAAAAGTTTGAATAAAAAGAGAGCAAACTTTGCAAAACAGTGCTTGCGGCAGGTATTTTCCAGTGCTTATGCGCTGTGCATTCATGTATTTTGTAATGTGAATGTCGTTGCAAGTTAAATCGTTCATTAATACACAAACAATAAAATTTATGATTGCCGATACAAGATCCAATTGAATGCAAACGAATTGGTTGCCTTTTGCTGTTTACCAAACGATACCCATCACTGCATCACTTCGTTTTTTCTCAAAGGTATTCCGTGTTGTGGCAGTAAATTCATTTTGGCCCCTCGCACACACACACACACACATTGGCTTGAGTCACTTTTCAGTTTAAAGTCGAATAAATACCACTTCAAAGTGTATGCATTACACGGCCAACGCTAACTTTGATGGAACTTTTGGAAGGGAAAAAAAGTTAATTAGTTTTAAAAGGAAGGAAGACTCATTTCGAACAACTTAAGCAAATGAAAAGTTTACCCCGACCATTTTTGAATAACTGCATAAAATATTGCTTTTTGAAATGTTGTTCACAGCAAAAGTTTGCTGACGGAGCTACGCTTTAAGTCATTTCTTTACAAATAACAACACATTTACCGAACATTATTTTTATATAAACTTCGATGAACGGTCGCTTCTTGCACTGAACCAACCGAAAAAGCGGCACAACACAACACAACATAAAATACAAATAACAAAGCGGCCGCAGTGCGCACGAAGTCGTCAAGGGAGAAAAACAGAAAAAAGAGAAAAGCAGAAAAAGAGAGAATGAAAGAGAACAGACTTTGTATACTTAAACTACTGTAAATCATTTGGGAAACTAATTTTCAGAGCAATATTCTTATTGCAATCACTTTTTTTCATGATCTTTCTTCTTTGTTCGACTCCGTTTGGCCCGGTTTCGGTGGCGTCGTGCACAGCCAATGTGAAATGATGCATCCACTGAGCAACGAGACATGCAATACTTTGCAGAAATCCATTTTGACAGAAATACGAACGAAAGGAAAAGGAAAGAAAATGAACACACACACGCACACAAATTGTGTTTAAAGATAATGATGTTGATGTGTTTCATCTTGCAACTTAACAACTTTTGTTTGCTTGTTCTCCTCTCTCTCTCTCTCTCTCTCTCAGAATATCACTCTCGATCACTCTCGCTTTCGTGTCGCGTAAATAAACAAATATGGTCTCGCTTGCATGTGTTCGGTAAGCGCAGGCAAGAAATTTCATTATTTAAAGTTCGGTTGTTAATTGGGGCTCGATTAACTCTTGAAAGTCTTAAACGGTGAACAAAATGGGAAAATGCAACAAATTTAATAAAATTTGTTTATCCATCTAGAAAAACTTTGTACAAAGATTCACTTTCGTAGCTGAGTGACTGTGTGTGATTTTTTTTCTCAAATTCTGAACTTTCTTACTTTTATTGTCTTACAGAATCGTCAGCATTAATTACGCAGTTAACGAGAAACAAAAGCTTAATCCGATTGGAGCGCGCGTATTTCTTCATACACACAAAAGTAAACATATAAGCCTGAATATAGAATCATGAAGTCAACTTTTGCAATGGTCCTCTTATTGGCAATCGTATGCATGGTTATGGCCGACACAAAATATGCACCAAAATACGATAACGTCAACATCGATTCAGTTCTCGGTAATGATCGTGTACTAACCAACTATATCAAATGCTTGTTGGACAAAGGGGCCTGCACTCGTGAAGGTCGTGAACTGAAAAGTAAGTATCGTATTTTTCGATATGTATTGTGTTTATTCTTTTCCATTTTGTTGCTTGATGCTTCGACCATTTCCCATTTTTTCACTTCGATGGAGCGTTTCGGCCGCAACCCCTGCACCATACTAACAAAACACGAATTTGCGATGAGCGCATTCAGTGAAGTTCATTTCATATCGTTTAAGTCGTTAGACGCACTCATGGACGCGACAAATTGAACGCATCAACAATGTTCCGTAATGAAAAGAACATTTTTTTACTCATAAAATTGATGTTTATCACGTGCTACCCTCTCACAAAAATCAATTTTGCACATTCGTGACATTTTTATTTTTTTTTTTGTCTACTTAATCAACAAATATAAAAAAGATTCAATAGTGAACGATCTGAGTCACAACTTTTGACACTTGTCTCATAGCGCTAGAAGTTAGCTGTCAAACGCTTAGATGCAGGACCTTTGGTTTCGGCCGCGCATTGACAACTGTCGAGAAGGAGATAAGAAATAATCAATATGGGAATAATAGAAAGGCCACGATTCGTAATCGAAGAAGTCGAGAAGTTGAGTGGCGAGTGTGCTAGAAGAATTGAAGGATGTTTACGACATAATCCATTGAAGGAACTAAACAGTTGAAGTGTGCCAAGCCACACATTTATGTAGCCATAAAACAAATATTTGCGTCAAATTACACACTATGAACCGAGAAGTGTGCAAGTGTCTATGAAAGAAACTCGGTTCTCACTCATCCATTATCGTTGACTTGAGTTTACTCCGATGTGCAAGCTACTTTGTTTACATTTATAGTACTTCTTCTTCTTCTTTTTTGTGGCTCTTGATTTTCGTTTGACCATTCATTCGTTTAGTCGTTCATGGCAGAAAAAACAAAATTATGAAGTGTTGTACAGACGCATGTATAGGCTTCTTTCATCTCAAGTCTTCATCTTTTAATTGATACATAAAAATATTACGACGCTTCATCACAAAACCGAAACCATCATCACTGTCAAGTGTTGTTCAATGTTCATGTTTACCAATGTGTTTACTTGCTTGCTCGCTTGTGTTGTGCACGAGTGAAGAGTTGAAAACAAGCCACTTCAGCAGTATTGTATGTCAAACATCAGAGATTTAGAAGTCAGCTGCGACATTTATGTAAATATTTTATCAACCGAATCGATTTCATTACTTTTCCTAACTCGTTTATAAAAACTCTGACACTGGCCAAAAACGGAACAAAAGAAGAAAAACGAATACGAACGCCTCTTCGCCATTTTTCACTCATTCATTCAGTCCAACCGCACCGGCCCTTGTTGTGATGGCTCGTTGGACGTAAAATGTCATTGACGCTTTATCAAAGGCTGGAATTGGTCATGCGAGAAATGCCGTTCAATTATGAGAACCAAAGAAACGGACCGACATCAAGTCCAAGACAGAGAGAAAGAGAGAGAGAGAAAATATTCGATTATGAAGATATTAAAAGTTGTCCATAAAGCATATCGCATTATTTGCCGAAAGGAAAAAACCCATTGAGTGTGTGATAGTGATAGAATTAATGCCCTCATTTCTCTCGTCATGGCAATTTATTTGCCATTTCCTTTGGGTTTCGATGATGTGGGAACGTCAACCAGATATGACTTTTCGATAATTTGTTTGCAAAATCAATTATTACTTTTCGTTTTGTGTCCATGGTTTTCTTCAGAATCGAAATAACAATAATCATAATAATTCGGTGTTACTGGGGCCGCGCATTGCCATATCAATTACCGATGGAATTGCCAAATGCGCAAACAATCATTATTTTGTTAAAATTCATTTTTGGTCGCCACAAATGACACGCAATTTATCAGTAAAATTCTAATTAGTATTGATGACACGTTGTCACAAGTGCGACGACATTTTCGAAGCATTAAGTGTATGTCCATCGATCCATCTTCGCAATTTCGGTATTATAGTACCCAATGCTATTAACCTTCATGAGCATGGCTCATACGATGCCGTTCGTGCGAACGCAGTTCGTTTTCGGGCACGGCCACTGAAATTAATGTTGCTTTCGTTTGAAAGCATTTGACGGGCGTCAAAATAATAACAATGCTACAGCGGTAGCAGCAACAGCTTGGCCGTATCGGTATATTGTGTGTTTGTATTGCTGTCGGTTGTCGGTTGTATTGCCACAACCGAAGAAACTGCAAGAGCTGAACAAAAGCACCGAACACACACACACACATACACGCCGAGAGCAAGTTCGATTTTTCATATGAAATTTCATCGGTGAATCGTTTCGTTCGGACATAAAACTGAAAGTTTACGTGCGAATCTGCTTTCCAAGTGTCTATGGGCACATCGCGTTATTTCGATGTGCTTGCACATACATACAAACGCTCTGTTTGTCGGTGTGTGCGTGCGCGCTCGTGTGCCTGTGCATTATCGGTGTATTGGTGTGCATGGGTGAGCAATGAGCACGCTTCACTCATTCATAATTGAATTTTTAATTAATGGAAGCAAATTGTTTTTCATACAAAATTCAAGGTGATAATACACTAGCACTCAATTATTCAGAGAATATTACTTTAAACTGCATGTCTCGAGAGCGGTGTTTGCTGCTTTTTAATAGTAATTTATATAAATAGCACGATAACAAAATCAGTTCGACAATGAAGCGAAAAATGTCTAGATCGCTTTAAGACCTTTTCGCTTTTTTTTTTCAATGCGACCCGTGAGCAACTGGGTTAACTAATACATTATTTATTTCGTTCGTTCGTTCGTTCGTTTTGTTTAATTTTATGTTTGCTTAAATGCTTTGTTGCAAAGCATAAAACTAACAATAACCAATTAGCACACAAAAGCGACAAAATCTTATCGCTTGGCCAACACATCATCAAACCGGCAGTTATGTAATTATATCAAACTATAAGCCGAGCTATTCGGGATGCGTCCGCTTCGCTTCCGGAGCACGGACAGCAAGAGGGAGAGAGCGATAGAGAGATGAATCGAGCCAATTAGCTAAATCGTGTTAACTGAAGTGCGAGTGCAAGCGTAGAATCAGGCCAATTTTTGTGCAAAAACTCAGTTGAAAAGGACAAAAATGTGCATTTAAACGCAATTAATGTTGTTAATTGCATTTTAGCTCATCGCAATTTTGATTTATGATAGTGATGATTGTGTGGCCCCGTGTGTTTAGCGCAAATGTCTTTTCAAAACTTTTCATGCTGATCATTGACGAGAGATATGTCCCAGTCAAATGTCATATTATTGACGTTGCACGTTTTTCATTTGCACAAACACACGCCACTTTTTGCTGTGGCGCGTTATCAATATTGCAATATCAAATTGGCCTGGGACGAAATGCGGTGCATCTCTTTCGTCGAGCGCATATAAACGAGGCGTGTGAAATGGATACGAAGCTAATGAAGTTTTAGTCAAATTAAGTGAACATCGTGGTCGAGCCATACACGCAGAGAGAAAGAGAGAGAGAGAGAGAGAGTGTCTAGTGTTTTGCGGCCAATAGGAACTGTATTAGTATGTCAAACAAATGGAAATGGCGCCGCAGCACAGTTACACAGAGACAGGCGAAAGAAAAAATTATTAATTGCGTTTTTTTCTGCTTAGATAATTTATTGAGTCTTAAACATGGCGAATTGATGATGCGAAATACTATCAGATAAACGAAATGACTTTTGAGATCGTATTTTCGCATGGTTTCGTTTTTTTTCTGTGGGCGCTTTGTTTTTGTTGTTGCTGCTGTTGTGTGGCTGTTTTATAAACATTTCAAAATAACACCTGAACCGACACATACAGACACAGGCAAGCCAATATGAATTGACTGCGAGAGCGAAAAATTTCACTTTGCCGTTCGATTTGAATATCAGCGTCTCTGAACAGACGAAAACACAGATTGTTTTATCGATACACAGAGGAAAGGTCAAAATATGTGTGTATCAAAATGAAGCGTACAACCAACATGATGTGTTTTTTTCTCTGATTTCGCTCTCATTCTCTTCATCAATATGTATGGCAACTGCAGAGGCGTAGAAACACACGAGGTGTGTTATGAAGCACAAAATAGAAAGAGAGAGTGTGAGAGAGAGGAAAGCAGAGTTCTTGTCAAGCTGTCAAAATGTCACATAGTCGATGTATGGTATGCGGTACGCGTTCTTTCCGCGCTCATGATTGATGTGTCGCATGATTTTTAGTGACAGACAGCGAGACCAAGAAGAGAGTGGATGTAGGCGAACATAATGAGAGCGAACGAGTGACAGATAGATGAAAAAAGAGTGTCATGATTTTGAGCGCGCGCGCGCACGCACTGATCGTGCACGTATATTGTCACTGCCTTTTTTTCTTCTCTCCATATTTTATAAATGCGATGAAGCGTTAAAAATTCATTATGCAAAGTTGTAAATGAAAATGGGAAAAACCATAATTGAATAAGTTATATAAAATGTTGAAAGCATAAAACTCAATTATTCATTTGACGTTTCGAATGCATCGACACCATAATCACATCAATGACAATACCAAACATCAAATTACCGTATCGAACTCTGCCTTCGGCGTCACCACCACCTCGATGCTATGATGCGAAAATTGCGAGGCTAACACAAAATCAAGTTGAATAATTTTTTTGTGCTTAGTGGACGAAATTGCAGGTGACAACCGATATACGCAACACAACAACATTCAAAACGGTCTCAAATATGGTGGGCCGACTGGCTGGCTAACCAATTAACAGTAACAACGACTCATTCAAAAAAAAACCAACAATAAAATATGGTTTGCACACGAGCGCGTTTGAAAACAGGTGTGAAAATGAATTGGTTCGCATTTACGTAATAATAACTGTAATGAAAATCCAATTTAAAATGTTTCATTTGCACCGATTTCTGTTTTACGACACACCGACACTCTTTCGGTTGCTCGGCATGAGTTTCTTTTGCGTACACATTAATTATAAATTCGAGAGATGTGAGAGTGGGATTGAGAAAGGGATCTAGACGCTTCCATGGATGGC